AGTGCCCGCAAAGACCCAAGGCCGTGAACGTTGCATTTTTCGGGTTGGAGTCATTCGAGCAGACACAGCAGGCGTTCCGAGAGGCCAAATCACACTTGTCCGAGATCTTATCCGCGTTCGAGATGATGGACAACCAAGCGCACACACTGGTGCACCGGGTCACGCAAAATAAGCGGCCACTCGAGGGTGAATATCCCTTCTACTGTCTAGTTGAGACGAGCGGATCCAACACGGAACACGACAGCGAGAAACTCCAGGCTTTCCTCGAGGATGTCATGGAGAAGGGAATTGTCGCAGACGGAACCCTGGCGGAGAACGAGACTCAGATCAAGTCCCTCTGGGCATGGCGCGAGGGCATTGCCGAGGCACTAGGTCATCTGGGCGGAGTCTACAAGTACGATGTCTCGATACCGCTAAAGGATATGTACAAGCTTGTCGAGGACACACGGGCGCGGATCGACGAAGCTGGCCTATTGGGCGATTCCGAGGAACATCCCGTCATTGACGTGGTCGGATACGGGCACATGGGCGACTCCAACCTCCACCTCAACGTGGCGACCCGCCACTTCGACAAGAGAGTCGAGAAGGTATTGGAGCCGTTCGTATACGAATGGATCCAAGAACGACAGGGCAGCATCAGTGCCGAGCACGGACTCGGCATCGCCAAGAAGAAGTACATCGGATACAGCCGCAGCAACACCATGATCGAGTTGATGAAGCAGATCAAGAAGCTATATGACCCGGTAAGTTTAGCTCGAGGCGGTGTATTCATTCCTGAGGGTGTGCACGTCGTATTGTCCGCCACTAACCGTCGAGTGCCAGAACGGGATCATGAACCCTTACAAATACATATGATATAGTCTAGTAAGCAGCGAGCGGAATGTCGGGGGCACTCTGCACCACAGCGCGGAGTGCGATCGATCGCTTTTCCTCTTCTGTGCAAAATTGGCGCGAGGTGCAATCGTCCTGCTTGGCGACTCATGGGGAAGTTCTCCAACTCGATTTTGGCATTTTGATACCTGCAGTATATATCATCAGAAAGATTTCTAATCAGTATATACAACTGGAGATTGTACCTCAAAAGCTCCCTGCCCGTTACTCAGGTCGTGCATCAGCCAGTCAGCGTCGCCTTGGATGCAGCGCCTTTGCCGCGTCCGGCGACCTCGACCTTCGGGAAACACAGAACAGGCTAGTACGTCTCATTCGCCGTGATACGCCTCAGGCCCCTTTGGGGTCTGATTATTGAGGAGGGGGGGTCTCGCACTGAATACACACATCAATCACCTCCGCACCTCCACTCTCTCTTACATGCAGCGACATTTCAAAATGGCCACTGGTGCCGAGACGTCCAGAAGAGTCCAAGTCGTTGTGCCGCTGCACAAAACATGGAGTGCTGGAGTTATACAGGTAGATGCTAATATTCAGCTCGGCCATGTGTCACCCACGATCGCATATCAGCCCGTTTCATTCGCCTGCAAAATATAGAGAACATTTCCGACTGCCGACCAACCAGGTCTCTGATCTGGCCGGTCGACCGTAGGCGGCCAATCCTCCATGGGTGGGCCGCCCATCCCCTTACCGAGCTGCAGCCCTGTAGGGCTCACGCCATCAAAATTATGCAAGGTTCTTGTTCCGAAAGGCATGCGGAAGATTGTCCGCGCTATGATGTATGATTCCAGAAGGCGCTCTGCTCGTGCTGTGAGAGGGCACGCGATTGCAGACCGCCTCGACTCTGTCCTCTCAGCGGCCCACTCGGATCACTTCGCACCAGATCCCCCCCCCATCTCAACCTCACCCACACCCAGTTCGTCAAAGGCTCCTGAGTTCTGACGTACTCAACGCAGACACACACACACACACACACTGCCTGACAGGATTGTTCCCACTCCGCACAATCCGCGCGTCTTTAGGATATACGTACGAGCTTGTGCCTTGTAGCACGTTGCCCCATTCACACCTTTCAGATTGGCTCCCAGGTCGCTCTGTGTCATTCATTGTAGCGACAAGCCACTATCGGCTGCCGGGACGCCCTCTGCTGGGAAACTGACTCCACTTCGTTTCCCAAGCCAAACCTAATGTGAAAGGTGTGACGGGAAACACTGCTTCTCTTGGGTTCCATGATCCTGGTTTGACAGGCTACGGCTGGTGTATTGGTTGCTGTCATGTTTCACAAGACGCAGATGAGGCTCCTGCTTGAGATTTCGAGATGCTATATCTAGAAGGCCCTCCCGTAACGCTACCAAGCTAATGGAGTATAAGCTTTTATCCATCATGCCGGGGGAAGTCAAGCATCAGCAAGCATGGCCGAGTGCAGGTCTGTAGGGAAAAGGGGAGCAGGGTTAAAGGCACTTACCCAACTTTGACTATATCTTTCTTGCAGAAGGATCTGCCACGTTACGCAAACGCACATGATATAAGGGCTCCTCTCTCGTACCCTGTCTGAGGGGCCCATCAAGTTGCTTCTGGGGCCTTCGGTTCAGACTTTCCTTACCCGTTCTGTCGGTAATTCTTGCAGAGTCTTGGGGTGTAAGATATCACTTGTCCCCTTTCGGTTTTCTGGCCCCCAGGAGTCCTCCCCTATCCTTGATACGCTTGTACAGAATACGCAGTGCGACTTTTCTCGGGGCATCGGAGATGCTATCGCCCTATTACGTTTACACAGAACGCCCGAGCTCGTCTATTTAAGGGGTAGTAGTACTGATATTGCGACCATGGTGGGCGTCCCGGGCAAGTATAAGGGCTGCGAAACCTGCCGCGCGCGGAGAGTAAAGGTAAAAATATCCTCTTGTCACACTCGGTGCGGGACTTCGGCGCCCCCTTAACGGTCGCTTTTTGCCCTCCGCCAGCGAGGGGGAAATACTAACAAGTCTAAAAACTCTCAGTGCGATAATCAGCGACCATACTGCAAGAAGTGCCTCGACAACGGGCGGCAGTGTGCTGGCTACGAGCGCGAGACAGTCTTCATCATCGGGACCATCCAGGACGAAGGCCGATGTTCGTCACATCCCCCGCGCGTTGTCAAGTCGACGACAAGGCGCGGAGGCAAGACTTCAAAGAAGAAGGAGGAGGAGCAGGAGGAGGAGGAGGAGGAGAGACTGGCACCTGTTCCCATCGAACCCTTCCAGCCTGCCTGGGACGACCTGATCAGCTTATCGAACGCGGGGAAGCAGTACAGGATCCAGATAGCAGCGCTTCAGACCACGCTGCAGGCAGTTGTGCGCGGTAAGGATGAGGCAGGCTCGTCTCAATTCTCGTTGATCTCATTTCCGCCGTACGAGCCGTCCAATCCGCAGCCATTCTTGAGGGATGACGACTTCGACCTGCGGTCGCAGTGTCTGGTGCATCTCGACGAGGATGCGGGCGGTGATGCCATGGATGCCGACGACACGGACATGAACATCACCGATAGCATCTGCTTGTTCCTGTACGAGGTAGGTCCTTCTTGCCTTTGCAGAGACACAGCGAGAGAGAGAGAGAGAGAGAGATGCAGGCTAACAGACGACATCGCTTCAAAAAGCACAACAACTCGGTCATGTTCAGCAACCAGGCACCGTGGCGAGACCCATCTGTCCAGGCCAACCTGGTAAGACAGGCTGGACCGGCCAACTTCCGCACGTTTCCAAACCATCACTTCTTCGTCAGGGTCTATCGACACAATGCTGTAAGTTTTGATCTAATTTCTTCCCTCGAGAAAAGAAATGACACTCAACGACAAAAACCCCATCAAAAGATCTGCGCCGCCCTCCTGAACCGGAAATCCAGCTTCCTCTCCTCGCCAGAATGGCTCAGCACCCCGTGGGAGGTCCACCCCAAATCCCCCTTCGACCGCCTCCTCGACATAATCGTCTTCCTGCCCTCCCTCTTCTCCCGCGCCGACCGCATCTTCCCGCACGACCCGACCCTCCAGCGGCGACTGATGGCCCAGGACCTGCTCGCCAACTGCCTGAGCCTGGAGCGCCAGCTCGAAGCGTGGCACGCCGCCGCCGACCCGGGCTCTTCCTCCTCTTCCTCCTCCTCCCCCACCATCTACTGGATCGAGGACCCAGACCCAGACCCCACCTCCGAATCCGCCGCAGCCCAGATCCCCTTCGCCGACACCTTCGCCTTCTCCTCGGCCCTGGCAGCCGCCACGACGATCTACTACTGGACGTCCCTCATCCTCCTGTACCCGTGCATCGAGCGCCTGCACGAGGCCATCTTCCACCGCGTCATGGACGCCTTCCCGCAGACCGAGCCCTCCCTCCCGCGCCACCTGCGCCTCGACCCCCACCGCTACTCGGCCCTCAAGGTCCGCGAGCTGGCCGCCTGCGTCTGCCGGGCTCTCGACTTCGCCCTCAACGCCACCGTGCAGCCGGACCTGCTCGTCGTGCCGCTCTACGTGGTGCAGGAGTTCTACCGGGGCATCAACGAGAGCGCCGGCGACGGGCAGCTGGAGCTCATGTGGTGCGAGGGGTTTAGGGCCAGGCTGCAGATTAAAGGGGGGGATATTGCTGATGTTGTTAGGGGGAGGAGGTGGAGGGACTTGGCGGCTTGGTGAATGATGGTGCTTTTTTTTTATTCTTGGTGGAGGATATTTGAGGCACGCGTGGGGGGTTTTTTGTTTGCTTTGGAGGGAAGTTAGGGAGGGGAGGAATGATGGCTTTCAGCTGGACTGGAGGTGGAGATTAGCACTCGTGGATCCTACTGGGAGACCACATGGAAGGGGGAGATTCCTCTGGAGAAGGAGACATGGATGGAGAAGCGACTGTGGTCGTTATCCATTCAGGGGAATGTACTGTGTAAGGATATCGGCACTCGTACAAGGGGATAGGAAGGACAGCTTGATATCTGTTGGTTACTGATTTGTCGCTCATCCATACGGACCATACCCGCCTGCATGACTCGAGCACAGCATCTAGGTTCCCCCCTAATGATCCAGGCTAGATACACCAGCGGTCCACATCCCACAGACGAGGATGCGGCTCATCTGAAAAATCTTAACGACGCCCGCCTCCAGCAGCGGGGATGTAGCTCATCTGGTAGAGCGCGTGCTTAGCATCCATCTGACGAGTGAATCGTCAGCACATGCTCCTGCACGAGGTACTGGGTTCGACTCCCAGCTTCTCCACGGTTTCGTTTCGTCTCTTTTTTTTTTCGCTTCCGGGACATCCATACCCAAAGCATCCACCACCCAACAATTAGACCTCCCAACCCTCCTCACATCGTGCTCAAGCGTGGATGTGGTTTGGCCAAGACACACCCAGGCGGTGAGCACAAGACGAAAGAACCGGACCGAAAGGCTGACCCCAGACTTGTCAGTCGAGTCGGACGAAAAACTCCCCAAAATCCGAAAGCGTCGCATCGGGGATCTGTGATACCTTCCTTTCAGGTACCTCCCTTGGCCGCATGGGGCCACGCACGCAAATGGTTACACGAACCACTCGACCAGAGAATAGGCGCGCGGAGACGCCGGACATGGCCGAGGCTCACAGCCACATTGCATGTCCTCGACGTCCGACAGACCACACCAGGCAGGTTCCGCGCAGTCTATCATAATGTGCAGACCGGATTCCACATGGAGTAGAAGACCCGAATGCCACACCCCCAGAGGAATGAGAGACAGGGTGTCAGCAGGAGCCAAGTAACCGGTAGTCCCGGGCGAACGAATCCGGCATGTTAGCCCCGACGTGCGTGATGGGCTTCGGCGAGGGGGCATTGGTAAGCCGGTGCATGGTGCAGAAAGTTGTTCCTCGACCATACTTGGGTCTGTAATGCAGGAAGAACGGGGGGAAGGGAAATTCCGCTCGTGACGTGTGCCAATTTATTGCTCGAAGGAGCATGGGGACGCAACGGCATTCAACCTTTTTGTGCATCATAGGGCTGAGCACCAAATACGTCCCTTCTAGGTTCTCGGGTCAGCAGGGAGACCACATGGGATTAAGCTTAGAAGTGCAACTAGTTCTTTGAGCTTGACCCGAAGTGGATAACAGGACCGGGGAAGACTCAGAGGTTTGGCATTGAGATGTGCTTATGTAGTTCATGAGGAGGGGATACTTGTTGAGCAATACGCGTGCTGTTCCAAGCAAAAGTAGAAAGCTTCCCACGCAACTTGAGGCGTGTCCGTCTGGAAGGTTGGGCTGGCTTACATCTGACGAGCCAGATGTAGCCAGGATAATCACGGATTATAAAACATGGGATAAAAGAAAGGCCCCCACTTAGAGGTCTTCAAATGATCATGGCGATGTCGGACGACAGCGGAACGGGATGATCTGATGGATCATCTTTCTATGGGACGAGAACACAAGACGAACAGAGTACATAGTTCAACCCAAGAGTAACATGAAGTAAAGAAGGGAAGAAACCTAAGAGATAGTGGCAATGGCAGCAGCGGGTAAAGACGGCCCGGCCAGGAACTGGGGGCTAAATGGCAGGCCGACTGGGTGAAGCAGAGGTTGTCGGAGGCGTGGTTGCTCGCCTGCAGGCTCAAGACGTGCCGTTCATGCGGTCTGGCTTCGGGTCCAGGGCAGGCAACATGATCCGCGAAACACCACACCTTGCACACTTTCTACTAGGGCTAGAGAGAATGTGAACAGTGGTAGGGAACTCTAGACATTTCAACACGCAGGATTGGCATGGCATGCCTTGATGAGAAGGGCAGAAGTGAACTAGGCGAAAGTCGTAATGTTAGCGAACGAGGAGAAATTGTCTGGGATAGACCTCCAATCGTTTTGGCTCGAGGTCCAGAACAGGCGCAGTCGTCCAGTCAGAGGAGCAAGGAGGCAAATGCTACCTTTGACTCGATACCCCAAGTGATCGTCGGCATGGACATGGGAGCCGGCGTGGCCTGCTCGGGATGGGTCACGAGTGTTTTGGGCAGCCATGGGTGTTGTTAGCAAGCCTGGCAAGGTATGCGATGGCGTGCATTCGACTCGCATCCAAGGCCGACGTGGCTGTAGGCCACAGGCCCCTAGGATGTACGATGCAAGGATGTTCGGGCTGAGAGATGGCGAGAGTCGATCATTGGCAGGATGGTGTCGATGTCGACTGTCGAGGTCAGAGAAGCCCAAACCAGCACAAGAGGGCGCGTGTTTCAGAGTCCCGGTTGGGTGTCTTTCGTTATGCGTCTGGCTCTCCTTTTTTCCTTCTCTGGGCCGTCTGAACTGCTGTGGAAAGGGATCTATAAACCCGAGATGGCCAGCTCGAGTCAATGCAAGCCCGTTAGTAGATCTGATCTCTTTAACGCTTTTCCGGTGTGTCGTTGAAAAAAGTGAAGCTATTCAGAGCAGCATTCATTCCAGTTGCTCAGTCGCTCTTTCCCTGGGCTCCATTAATTAATTAATTACTGTGACCCCTGTCTTGGCCCCAACACGCTTATCGATAGCAGTCCTGCAGCTACTGCTAGCGCCCGCAAGGTACCCTAAGTCCAGGTGTCCTAAGTCCAAGGTACACAGCCATGTCTCTGGGGCAAGACAGCGGTGGTGGCACTGGTGGCACTGGTCGCCAGCTGCCCACCAATCAATTGCCGGGCAACGCCGACAGCGTGGAGAAGTTCCCCGAGTATTGTTTACAAAATGCTGCCAGCCTCGTCACCGCCGGAACGACGCCGACACCGGTACATACTAGCAACAAGGACTTGTTGGCCAATCTTGGAACTCCCAGTCTTGGAACTGCCGATTTTGGACGACAAAAGATATCCACGCAACAAGGCCGCCCGTCATCGCTCTCCATCCAGTCTGTCGCTTCTTCCGACTGTTCTTCAGCATCTTCCCTCCTCGACAAAGACAGCACCCCGTTCGACTCGCGCCGATCCTCCATCATAAGCAGTGCATCGTCCCACACGAGCCATTCCTCCTCCCACTCGCAGTCCCCACAACAGCCCCTGTGCAGCTCTCCGGAGGAACAGCACCAGCACCAGCACCAGACTCCCCTGCCCAGGAGCCGCCACAACGCAAAACAGCTGCATGCCGCCCGCCTGCAGCGTTCAGGCTCGACCAGCCTAGCCACCGTCTCCAGAAAGGACGGCTCCTCCCCGACCTCCAAGTCGAGACAGCAGCGCTTCCGCAAGAACAGCTCCCAACCCGGCGACGCCCTCGCCGCCACCGAACCCCCCCACGAGCAGGGCCTGACGAGGATGGCCTTTGCCGAGCAGCAGCGCTGGATCACGGTCCAGCAAAAGACCTTCACCAAATGGCTCAACACCAAGATCGAGGCCAGGAGCCTCGAGGTCAAGGACCTGGTGCAGGACCTGAGCGACGGCGTCATGCTCATACACCTGCTCGAGTGCCTGTCCAACGAGAGCCTGGGCCGCTACGCCGCCAAACCGAAACTGAGGGTGCAGCGCTTCGAGAACGCCAACATAGCCCTGGATTTCATCAAGTCGAGGGGCATCCAGATGACCAACATCGGCGCCGAGGACGTGGTTGACGGCAACAGAAAGATCATCCTGGGCCTGATATGGACGCTTATCCTGAGGTTCACCATCAACGACATCAACGAGGAGGGCATGACGGCCAAGGAGGGCCTGCTGCTCTGGTGCCAGCGGAAGACGGCGTGCTACGACGAGGTCGACGTCAGGGACTTCAGCGCGAGCTGGAACGACGGCCTGGCCTTCTGCGCGCTGTTCGACATCCACAGGCCGGATCTGATCGACTACGACGCGCTGGACAAGTCGGACCACAGGGGCAACATGCAGATGGCGTTCGACATTGCGCACAAGGAGATCGGCATCCCGAAGCTGCTGGACGTCGAGGACGTGTGCGACGTGGCCAAGCCCGACGAGAGGAGTCTGATGACGTACATCGCCTACTGGTTCCACGCCTTCTCGCAGATGGAAAAGGTCGAGAACGCGGGGAGGAGGGTGGAGAAGTTTGTCAACAACATGCAAGGGGCGTGGGAGATGCAGAGCGCGTACGAGAGGCGGATGGCGGAGCTCCTGAAGGCCGTGCGGGCACAGATAGTCGCCTGGCAGGACGCCAGGTTCGAGGGCAGCTATGCGGACGCGAAGAAGCAGGCCGCCGAGTTCGCGGCGTACAAGAGGGGGAAGAAGAGGGATTGGGTGGCGGAGAAGAGCGACCTGGCCACGCTGCTGGGCAACATCAAAACTAAGTTGGGCACATACAGGTTGAGGCCGTACGAGCCCCCGGCTGATTTAAGGTTGGAGGTTATGGACCAGGCGTGGGCGGATATGGCGAAGGCCGAGATGACGAGGGGTCAACTTATCAATGAGACTATCCGAGAGTAAGTTTCGTCCCGAGTGATAGGCCCTGCATTTTATTTGGTACCACCCAGCAGCTATTAACACGGGGAACAAGCATCAAAAACGCCCTGAGGAAATCCTTCGCCGACAAGGCAAACGACTTTGCACTCGCGCTCAACACGATGCAGCTCGCCATATCCGGGCTGGAAGGCGACGTCGAAGACCAACTGCACCACGTGCGCAAGCTATCCGAGAACCTGGCGCCGCTCGACGCCTACCTGGAGACCATCGCGGCCGTGGACGCCAAGTGCGAGGAGGCCAACATCGAGGAGAACGACTTCACGACGTACACGTACGACGAGCTGTGCTACGAGCTGTCGCTCGTAAAGACGTCGGTCTCTAAGAAACTCGCCTTTCTCGAGAACCAGATCGTGGCGCGCAACATGACGAACCTGACCCCGATCCAGCTCGAGGAGTTCGAGTCCGTCTTCCGGCACTTTGACCGGGACGACTCCAACAGCCTGGCGGAGCTGGAGTTCTCGGCCGCGCTGGCGAGCTTGGGGCTGGTGTTCAGCGAGGACGAGATGCACGAGTACTTCCTGTCGACGTCCAACGGGCGCGACAGGGTGACGTTTGAGCAGTTCATCCGGTTTATGGTCGAGGCGACCGAGGACCAGAACACGGCCGAGCAGGTGTTTCAGAGCTTCCGCGAGGTGGCGGACGGGAAGCCCTACGTCACCGAGATGGACCTGCGGCACTCGCTCGTGCCGGACGAGGTCATCGACAAGCTGATCGAGATCATACCGCCGCATACCGGGCCGGACATGCAGGCCGACAGGGGGGTGCCGCAGTATGACTATATTGCGTTTATGGAGAAGCTGATCAGGGAGGAGCAGGACAAGGCGGACAAGGCCGAGCGGGCGGAGAGGAGT